CATTAGCACCTCTAGTAATATATTTACTGAGAAAAATGTTGACGTGTTCGATACTTATTTTACCCGCTGTATATGTTGATTTTGTTTAATCATGTTTGAAAGAGCAGAATTGGTTCTTTTACAAGTTCAAAAATAAACTGCAGCATACGTACTAGAAGCACATGAGTTGCTGTAAAACACTTAGTCAAATTTGCATATGAATTTCTAAATAAGTCCGTTGTGGCTTTAGTGGGGTCCCGGAAAAGCAAAAAAGGTTTAGTCATTTAGTCATTTGTAAAGCATAGAAAGACATGCACACCATACTACCCCAATTCAGCTCTTATCTGATCTAGAAATCAGTTTCAGTGTCATAACGTTGGTCTTGCTCTTTGATAGGTTATGTTTTCTAAAAATACCTGCGTAGAAATCCTCCAGCATGATTTGCTTTATTTTTCAGGAAACCTAACTCCGGTTGTGTTTGTTTGCAGCACAAATCTGGACCTGAGGTTCAGCCTGGCTCTGTGCGACAAAGAGAAGCAGTTCCGACAAACCCGCAGAGAAAGAGTGATGCTCGGCATTAAGAAGCTGCTGGAYATGGAGAAACCTCGCTTCCTCCCCAGCTCTCCGGAGGAGGTGSGCGCCAAGCTGCAGAAGTGCCTTCTGTTCTGATCTACACGTCAAATGAGAATTGCGTTGACGTTTTAGAAACAGAAACTATTGCAAACGTCTGTGGTAGAAGCCGAAGTATTTCACGTGCACTTATTTATTTATAGGATGGACCTGATTAGATATCATCAGTAACGAGTCAGCACTTTTTCCACAAGCGAGGCATCACCGTGCCCCTAACACAAAACGCTACTCATCATGACACAGTAAACTTTTTATGGTTTTGAATTCGCTGCGCTCCAACTGTTTCTAATTTACTGTAATTAGCAGTTCATGCATTTAGATTCACTTTGGTGATTAATCCTCATTTAAACTTGTAAAAACTRATATAAATATTATATTAATTGCACCTTTTTACCCTTACAGCCTCACCTATGCAAATCATAGTCAGTTCAAACACTCTCTTAACTATTAATACATGGAGTGAAAGTACATGTACATGAGCATTTACATATACACACAGACTATAGAATAGTTAATTCATGAGTTATTAAGGATGAACAAACAATGATTATGCAGCCTTTATTTGTAAAGCATTAGCAAGTGTGTCAATTTGTAGCCTAATAAATATATATCATCCTTAATTAATGGTGTTTTCAAGGTTAACTAACCATTTGTTAATGACTAAGTAAGGCTAAATAAGGCGTAGTTATTTTAAAATGTTACCAAACTAAATAGAACTGCAAATACAATTTCTGAGAAGATATTAAAACAGGCTACAGCTGCCCCTCTACCTCACTGAAAACTTGAAAAACAAGAATGCAGCTATTTATTTTCCACTCCTTCCATTCAAAAAGGATTTCCAAAGCCCTCGCCCCCGCCTGCATGACTTGACATTTTTCAGATTTTGTGTTCTCGGTGTACAGTAAAATACAAAACTAGGGTTRGATAGGGTTACTTTTTAATATTTTTCAACACTTATAATGAATGTGATGTGTGCTTATATTAGTCTGGTCTAGTTTTATTTTTATCTCCAATATATTGAAGTGAAATGAAGATTAATTAAAAAAACATGACTTAAAGTGCTATGGTTGGTTGATGTTAAGTATTGCAATCAGGCTTAGACTTGCTGTCATTTCACAAACTTAGATTAAAATAACATTTCAAATATTTATTTTGCTTTACTGTAAAGCTACAATGCAAAAGCTCCAACCTTTTCTCCCATGGCTTTGAGTAAGCTTCCTTTCCCGCMAGTGTAGTTTGGCGAGATGCCCTTGGGACTGGTGATAATCTCCAGCCAGGCCTGCCCTCATTCTACCAGAAGCTACAGAGAAACGAGGGATCCAGTTACTGCCCTGAACTGTCATCACTGTGGATTAACTCCCCTTTTCAGGATGACTGTGGAAAAATGCAGGCTCGATTGATTTAACGGGCTCCTGAGAGCGACCAGTGTTGCACAATAAAAATGATGAAATGGCTGAAAATGTGAAGGCACAAGTTGAGGAAGAGAATGCCGTGAAGACATGAWGCAACTAGCTTGGTTTTTCTCTGTGCAGGGGGAAGTTACTCAAGTTGAGCAGTACTGAATTTCATTTTGTTAAGAGTTGTAGGTTTGGAATGATGTGACTCTGGGTCTCTGTCTTCTTCCTCCCACCTTGACTGGCACTTTGTGCTTCGCAGGTTCCAGTGATAGCCATCGCAGGTTCAGGCGGGGGGTTTCGTGCCATGGTGGGCTTCTCTGGAGTCATGAAGGCTCTGTTTGAGTCTGGGGTCCTGGACTGTGCCACATATGTTGCTGGTCTTTCTGGATCCACATGGTCTGTCTTTTCTTTTCTGCTTCTTTTGCTTTATGCACTGCCTTTTGATGACACTCAAAAATATATTTATATTCTTACCTTCATCACAAACATACTGCTAATAGACCATGTTTGGGGGGGTGTTTCCAGGCACATAGTTAATTTCTATACCACAATCAAGTAACTGTTACCTTCAGTTGTTATGAAAATGTTGTATGTATAAAAAATAAATTACAATTTGCTTCATAGTCTATCTAAATTATTTGATATTGGCCTCCTACCATTTCCAACGGTACCACTTCAGCTTGTTTTCAAGCAATGCATCAGGGACGTGTTGCATAGGAACAACACGTCCCCTGGGTGTCAACACGTCCCTTGGGTGTCAACAAGTTGACCCAACACATCCTGTGGGTGGGAGCTCGGCTGCAGACTGAGCTCCAGGGAGGAGATTTGTTCAAATAGGCGGGGCTTTGTGTCTACAAGCGTTAAGGCAGCTTCACGTTTACCACAAGACAATCAAAGATTTCTCAAACATGCATGAATGAGTCAAAGCTATTGGTATGAGTTTTATAAGTTAGTGACTCTATAACATGATATAAAGCTCAAACAAATGATTTTACATGACACCCCTCCTTTAAAAAAACATTTGTTTCCCTCTCTTTTTACTTCCTTTAATTTTTATGTCTTCTTTCTGCTCTTGCAAAATTTTCTGCTTTCCTCTGATGGTAATGATCTTTAAACACCTCYGACCTATATATCAAGTCTTTTGACTTAATCTATTTAACTTCCACTAAAAAAATTCTGCAGAAAGCAGTCTAATAGCTTTCATCTTTCTCCCTGCAGGTATATGTCCACTCTCTACTCTCATCCTGAATTTCCAAACAAAGGCCCAAAGGACATAAACAGTGAGCTGATGAAGCGAGTTAGTGGTAACCCACTGAGGCTGCTGCTGCCCCAACACATCACCAACTACATCCAGGCCCTGTGGACTAAGAAGGCCTCAGGGCAGCCCGTTACCTTTACCGATATTTTCGGTATGCTCATAGGAGAGACTCTCATACCTGCGGTAGGAGCAACTTTACACCTGCTTTTTCTAAAATTTACATCAGACATAGTGACACAATATTTTTTTATAAGTAATGATGCATAAATATGAAGAAAAATGTTGTTTTTTCAGAGGATGCACATCAAGCTAAGTGGCTTCCAGGAGAAAACAAACCAGGCCCAGTGTCCTCTCCCACTCTTCACCTGTTTGCACGTCAAGCCAGATGTTTCAGAGCTCATGTTTGCGGGTAATTCTTGCTAGCTATATTTATTACACAGCCCATGCTACTCTCAYCTGTTTTTCATATGCAATGAGGTACTACTGATAATCAGTTAGACCACATGCAAATGAAAAATGCCAGCACATTTCCCTTTTAATGCCGCCCTGTTGCAGCAGGGAGGTTGTGATACTGTTGGGTGTCATCTGCCTCTGCTGTGGCAGACGCAACGGCACTTCAGCTCAAAATAAAGGAACTGAGCTTTGTGTGCTCAAGTTTATGGCGGACTCTCTGTTACTTCCGTGCAATACGGCACTTCCTCTTAGCTTGCATGGCCACTAGAAAATCCTCTGTAGTTTTATCTGGTCACGCTCAGATATTCAAAGAGGAAATCAAATAAGTCAACATCCAGGMTCTTTCACAGATCTCTTTGCATACTCGTCTGCTTCTAAAGTCAGAGTGTTACGATTAATCTTTTAGCAAAATTCAAACATTAAATTATTAGAAACCACATTAAAATTAATTTGATGTTGAGCTAAAAGTTTAAAGATGTTGACATATTATTGTAAAAAGTTAATATAATTCTTAATTTAATGGAAGCTGTCACAGACTGATTTTTCAGTGCACATTGAAGGAGTTTTTAATGTTGGTCTGAACAACCTCTGACCCCTAAAACAAAAAATAAATACTTTTGTTGGGAAAATATTAATCAGCTGATTAACAGGAGGTCTAATAGCTGACTTGATTTAGCAGTCTAATGTGTGTTTTGATTAGGGGTGTTCCGATATGAACAATAGAGCCAATCAAGGCACTAACAACCTATTGTTTGGMTGCTGGTCCTTCAWGTTTAAGTATGTCARGGTCTTGYTCATGAATGAGGGAAGAATGGAGCAGGAGATCGACAAGCGGATTGGTGCTGCATCTGCAGTGATGCGGGCGCTGTACCGGTCTGTCGTGGTGAAGTGAGAGCTGAGCCAGAAGGTGAAGCTCTAGACCGAAGCTTTTTACCGGTCGATCTACGTTCCTACCCTCATCTATGATCATGAGCTTTGGGTAGTGACCAAAAGAACGAGATCCCGAATACAAACGGCCGAAATGAGTTTCCTCCGCAGTGTGGCTGGACTCTCCCTTAGAGAAAGGATGAGAAGCTCAGTCATCTGGGAGGGACTCAGAGTAGAGCCGCTGCTCCTCCACGTCGAGAGGAGCCAGTTGAGGTGGCTCGGGCATATGGTTAGTATGCCTCCTGGACGCCTCCCTGGTGAGGTGTTCCAGGCATGTCCCACTGGGAGGAGGTCCAGAGGAAGACCCAGGACACGCTGGAGGGACTATGTCTCTCAGCTGGCCTGGGAACACCTTGGGATTCCCCCAGAAGAGCTGGCCCAAGTGGCTGGAGAGAGGGAGGTCTGGTCTCTCTGCTTAGGCTGCTGCCCCCGCGACCTGACCCCGGGTAAGAGGAAAAAATGGATTGATGGGAGAAGTAGTAAAAGTCATAAAACTGCTCACAATAATTGGGAAAGTAAAAGTACTTTTACACACACCTTAAGAAATGATGTCTTGAATTTACTTAACCAAGTTAAATTAAATTGCTTGACATTTACTCAAAACAACAAATATGATTTTCTTTAAACTTGCATAAATTGTTTAAACATGGAACTGATAAACTTTTAATTTGAAAGATAAACKGTAACACATTCAGTTGAATATTGAATCTGGTATCATTACTGGTATTGGTATAGTTTTTGAGTTTCGGGGCATTTTGAATGAGAACAAGTTTGAGTACTTGTAAAAATGCTGGTATCGATGCCAGTACCAGTATTGGTACTGAGACAGCACTGGTTTTGACAGTTGTTATTAGATAATGAAACACTATTATTTTAACCTGGAGAGATTCACACAGAGGCAAAGCAGCAATTCACATACAATGAYGAAATTTGTGCTCTGCATTTGCCCCATCACACGTGAATAGAAAGGTTTTTGGCACTCGAACCCCGGCAAAAGACGTAGGCGCTGTGAGTTGCCGTAGACATGGATTAACAGTTTAGGATGAGGATTAGAGACGTCTCCCCCCAGAGCCCGGACAAGGCGAGGGTCGATACTGATAGGCTTGTAGCAGAGGTGCATTACGTGGTGATTAGATGCAGCAGGCGAGGCTGGGAGGAGTCTTCCAGATTGACTTTATGCCTAGGCTTCATTTGAACTCTGATTCTTTGTCTCTTCCTGAAAGTGACTCAAAATAATCCAAAGATTTTTCATTACCAGTGTTAGCAGTTGTAGCAATGTTCCATTTATGTGCAGGAGTTCCCCTTTGTCATCACTTCCTGTTACTGCGCATGCAAATATCCTACCAACTGTTCATGTCACCGGTGTGTATTTCTTTTTGCAATACATTCTTAATGTTATCTTTCCGAAAATACATYTGCATTTATCCTGAAAAATTTGATGTCACGGGTCCTTTAAATTACATCAGTTCAGATAACTGAAAGCATCAGAGATTTTACAGAATCACGAGTTGACCTGCTGATTTTCTGTTTGCCGTTCAGCTGACGTTGTGTCATAAGCTACGTGTTTATTTACGTGTTGGCCAGGTAACTGAGATCCTATCACTAAGGATGCAGTTTAATGCTCAGTGGGAACATGCCTTTTTAGAGGCGTCCATCTTGTGTTCTGCTCACAAAAAACAAGCGGCCCCACTCCCACACCAGGTTTAGAGGGAAACTGACTCCCAGCCATTTATTTGTTCTTGTTGCCTGATAAAGAGATACTATTGTGAATTGCAACGGTGATCCTTTTAAAGATGACGCCAAACTTGTTCTCAATCTAGAATTACACGCTTTCTTATTTTATCTTACATAGATATCACATGCCACAACATTTCTTTTTAAACGTGAGTAGAAACGGAAAAAACAGTGATTACGTGCTTTCCTTTTACCTAAAATAGTCACTTCAATGTAAACCAGTCCAATGGGAAACACCTTGCTGAACGCAGGTTACGCAAAGCCCAGGAGGAAAATAACCAGTTTAACAAAAAGCAGGTTTCTATATACAGTATAAAAAGATATATTTCTGTGCATATTTGTGTTCCCTTCTGTGAGTATTTTTTGTATCAGACTGAGMGATTTAAACTTTTCTTGAAAAAAGTAGAATGTTGTACGCCTTTACAAAACATTTAATGGGGAATTTATTATTTTTGCATGATTAACTCTGAGATTTTCACCTGCAGACTGGGTAGAGTTCAGCCCTTATGAAATTGGGATGGCCAAGTACGGCACATTCATGACGCCCGACTTGTTTGGAAGCAAGTTCTTCATGGGAACTGTGGTGAAGAAATATGAAGAGAAYCCTATTCATTTTCTGATGGGTAAGAATGGAGTATTTGTTTTATTTCCCTTCAGTTTTCAGTACAGAAGCCAATCGTCTGTTGCTGATGGACTTGYTTTTGATTTGTCAGGCGTGTGGGGAAGCGCCTTCTCCATTCTGTTCAACAGAGTTCTGGGTGTGAAGGACACAGCTGGAGGCAGCACCATGGAGGAGGAGTTAGGTAATTGTTTTAGGTGTTCATTGCATTATTGGATTTTATATGGCACATGTGTCAAACTCAAGGCCCCCGGGCCAAATGTGGCCCACAGGTGAATTTCATCACTATCCAAAACCATTTTTTAAAACTTAATTTAACATGAAAATAGTTTAAACTGATGATTCAATGCAACAAAATAAACAAATTGAAAAGGTGACAGATAATTCTTGTCCTGCCCCGGACCCGTTGGCTTTGACAGAAGCTACTCACCAAAACTTAASAGTGACTAAAACTCTTACTTTWATATTTAATAGTATTTACRTAGTATTTATTTCACATTTAGTCAGTTGTACACATCGTAATTTTCAGTGTTTATAAGAGGACGTGTTAAAACACTGTTTCAATGCAGGAAATATCAGGTAGAGCTCAGTTATTGTTTGTTAGCTGTGCTGAGCCATTGCAACGAGACCAGGAATGTGACCGTTCTGTTTAGTCAAAGATAAGCAATCAAAGTTAATTACAACTGGGCCTTTGAGAGCCACCATAATGCTCATGTGGCCCTCAGTGAAAATGGGTTTAACACCTGTTATACTGTCTTTGATGGCTCATTCACCCGAATATCTCCCTGGTAAACCTTTGAAAATCCAATAAAATGTTWATTGAATATTTTGCTAACAAACAAACAGGGTTGACCCCAGCACTTAAAGTAGCACTTGAAGCATTTCGGGCTAATATTGTAAATAAGAAATTGGTCTGTGTGTTTTGAATGACCCAGTAAACTCACCAAATTTATCACAATATCCATAAATCTGACTGAATTATAGCCATTTATACGTTTTCCAAGTTCAGTCTGTTGTGGTGGCCGTTTTGAATAATGTTGACTTTAAAAGTTAATGTTCTGTAGAGGTACAACAAATGATTGTCTCCTGAAGGTTGCATTAAAGTCCCTTCAGTGATCTAGTAATCAGTAACCACACACGCATGCACATATAAATATACAGTATATATGATGGTTTATTTTACATTTCTGCATGTTCAAGCATGTCCTCAGAAAAATCAGAACATTTAGTCATGGATAATTTGTGTTTGTGTAGGAGTTTCCTTTCAGATAAGGCCTTAGTTTGTAGGCGGCAAAACACTTTATTTGAAATAACTTTGCACCGACGCCGAAATCACAAACATGCCTAAGATCATCAGTCATGTCTTACAGACACTCTTTGTCTTCCTACAGTACACTGACAGACACACTAGAGTTCAGTAGTTTTTCTCACAGCTTTTCAAAACAGTCATAGCTATAATTATCACTTTGTTTCTGCTCACTTTAAAACACGTAGCACGAGTGTGTGCTCATGGGAACTGTATCTGCTTCCTGACAGCTCATTGGCTGTTTGTTTAGTCGGATACTTTTGTGTGGGGTGACCTTTTGCGTATTCAGACACACAAATGTTATTCAGACACACAAATGTGTCACTGCACCTCCACCTAGTTTAAGAATGTCTCAGTATATCAGATGTTTATTTCTTTTAAAAAAAAAGAAGATAAACAGCAGTTGGTAATGTGATAATGTCCCATATCTGAAATAAAACAAGGTGCAGTTTTCATCTGCAGTAAATAAATGGCATATTTTTTGTCTCACAGAGCAGATCAAACCCCAGCACATTGTTGGAGAAGACAGTCTGGACAAYGACGATGACCTGCGCAAAGGTGAGCTGAAATATGCTTCATTTAAACRCAACAAAGTTTAGAAACTGACTTTTTATTCTGCAGCACAATAAGGCTCACTCTGTGATCCAACAGAGGTATTAAAGCTGACAGTTTATGGTTAACATTTTGTGACATTGACACTTCTGAACCAAACTTGATGTTGTGAAACAGTAAAAAAATGCTGTGGTAAAACTTGCTATTTCCAATGAGTGTTGTGACTCAGCTGTCCAAGCTCAGCTTCTTTTGTAAGTTCATAAAACAAACAAAGGTTTCACTTCTTTTAACACCTGTTATACTTTTCAAAGAAGCTGTAAAAATTACAGCTCAGAATTTTTTTTTCTTTTTTTAAATAAAGCAGGAACTCTGACTTACGAGTGAACTTTTGACGAAGGCTAAAGATTAAAAAAGAGGAACAGAGATGGCAGAAATGAGATAAGGCAGAAAGGGTGGACAACTTAAAAGGCATGTTTTACTTTTATATTAAAGGGACAGTCTTGTAATTTTTGAAGCAATGTTCTGTCAAATTGTTTGTTTTATTTTAAACATGTTAACATTTAAGACATTTAAGCAAACTAAAAATAAAAAAGAACCTACAAGGAAAAATGAAAAGAAAAAGTGCTTAAGTATCACTACATTTTTTTTATAGCTTACATGTCTAAAGGGAGTGGGAAGAAGTACAAACTTATTTAATCCCTCCCCTTCAACAGTGTTAACTCCCCGTCAATATTTCTTAATACAGGATATTGTCATATTTTTACACATCTTTATAATTCATGAAAATTAGTTCTTTATACTTTCTTTTAAACAATTTCATGATTGGACACTGCTTCAACTCCACATATAAAAACACAAACACTCTTCCTCCCAGTGCGCACAATAACAACTTTTGAACTTACAAAGACCCCTTAAATTAAACCTTCCTTCCCGAAAAAGAAATTTACTTTCACAGTCAGTGTGAATGAAACCCAAGAGCAAGCAAGAACTCATGAGGCTCAGGTCGAGCTGAAAAAACAGATTCATTAAAAAGGAAACCAAAATGGCTTTTGAGGCAGCAAACAACTCTAATTAGAACCGCAGGTAGGACCTTGAGGGGGATTGGGATAGTGAAACAAAAATTCACTTGTGCACCTTTTCCACCAGCGTCTCTACAGCACAGTTTGACTCRGCTCATCACGGTTCAGAGGCTTTTCTAGTAGCAAGGATTCGTAGAACCTGCCCCTTTTTCAGAACGTACTTCAMTGTGGTTCCAAGTGTACCATGCTGGCCTGAAAACAAGATGTCAGACTGTCAGTCACTGATTGGTTGGGGGGGTGGAGTCACTGGTTGCATCACAAGAGCTACTCTCACCACAACCTGATCCGCCATTTGCATTAACAACACTACCATGTCTTCCATTGTTGTGTTGAGTATTTTTTCAGGGTTTTATTCTTCTACTATGTTTGAAGGTGGCTGGCAAATAGTTTAATGGAGCATAACTGTCACCAGCTGGTAAGGCGTGTGGCGTCAATTTTCCGACTCTGGGAAACCACCCAAACCATGCTGAACAGAGTGCAACCAAGTCAAACCGTGCTGTAGAGGAAAAGGTCCAGTAATGCTCTGCTACTGCAGCCACATGGGAGACACACGTTTAAAAGACACTGAGCTGAGTGACAAACACCTGGGGACAGACAGGTGAATGGAGCAGGAGCAGAACTACACAGAGAGAGAAACAGAGGAGCTGAACACACACACAAACACACACCGACACCCACAATCTGGCACTGCTATCTTTATGGGAACCTGGCATTGACTTCCATTATTTTCTACAGCCTAACCCAGACCACCAATCCTAACCCTAACCTCACAGGTACCTACCTACCTGACCCTAAAACTAACCTAAACTCAATTCACACCTTAGTCCTAAACTTAACCCCTGACCTACCAACAGCATTTCCCCTTAAGGGGACAAGACTCAGGTCCCCATAAGTACCAGTCAGGTCCCCATAAGTAGCATTAGATCCCCACAAGCAGGTGTGCATGCTAAAAAAAACGGTACCACAACATAGGGAATACCAGTCCACACACACACAGGTCTGGTTTGTATATACCAGTGGGGACCATGCATTGACTTTCATTCATTCAAAAAAGACTAAATAATTTATAAGAACACAGACACGGATCATAACATGTATTTAAGTAAATTGTTGTTCAGCTCTCTTGTAGTATTTGAAAGTTTACCAGATCTGCAAATTTTAGTATTTTGAGCTGTAAGAATAGGTGGTTTGTATGTTATTAAAAGTTCAAACCTTTAGTATATTTTGATGCAATACCCACCTTTCTATACATCGTGTATGCTGAGGATATACAGTATAGATATCCTCAGTTGATTCTCAAAGTCGAACAGCTGGGTATTTTGTCACGTGACCATGTTGTAAACGGAGGCTGACATATTGGTTTGGGGGGAAAATAGGATGAGTTCCTGTATGTGGAAAATAGAAAAAAATGTGAAAAGTTGCTGTAGGACTGCACTTCTCACGTAAAAAATAACATCCAGAGAGAAAATATTTATTTTTTCTAACTGCAAGAGTGAGGGGAAAGAAATAAGACATGTGTTGTTGTTCTGCCTCTGCAGATCTTTGTGCTTCTCCTTGTTTTGATTCAAAACAAACTAAAACTGGCTAAAATGAAGAGTAAATACTCAAAACTACACACTAACTATAAAATCCAAACATGTTAAAAGTCACAGATTAAATTAATAAAGTCCTGCTCTCACTGGCTCTACATTGCCGCCAATCTCCATTCGAATTTCGCCTCTTTTTATTTTCTTCTTCCTGTAGATTTTTTTTCTGCTTGTCAGATAAGTTTGAGCCTCAGTCAAAAACGAGCTCTGGGGTGTTAAATTTTTTCGGTTTAAGAGAAAGATGAGACTGATGATGGGGACAGCGGTRTTTTTTCTACGAGAGTACAGTGTTTCCTGCTCCCTTCAGCTTCAACGTGCTTCAAAATAGAACGTCCATTTTCAGAAAAAAAAGTWAGATATGCTATTTGTTGTAACTCTGGTTTTCTTAACTCTTGACACAATTTAAAAACTTCTGTATAGTTTGAAGCCTGTACTTTTGACACACAATTTGTAACAGAGTCTCACAATGAGTTTTCCCCCACACAAAAATGGAGGTTGAAATCACGTGACTGAATGACAACACGCCGACTTCGAGAATGGTTCAGAGGATGTTGATTGTATCAGTCAGCCAGGAGTTGAGTAAACTTTTGGTTTGACTAGACATGAYCAGGTTGACTGATAAGTTTAACGCCCTCCACATCGAGGTACACTTCGCTGCAGCATGCAGAATGGGGCGGGGACGGACYTTTCYGTMAGTCCCATACCTTATATGGAAATGGGACTATTGCATACCGGAAATGAAGGTTGCTCCTTAAAGACGCGGGATTAAGAGAGCAAAGGAAGAAGAAAGGAAGAAGTTAGAGAGTTTCTTCTACTCACRTTCAAGTACTCAGAGCATTATTTATTAATTTATTTTATCCACCTCCCCAAACACAGACCCTCAGGTTAACCTCACAGGCCTAATGCCTAAGGTTAGTTTGTTACTGTAATATAATATTAATATCCAAAAACAACAAAGATTTAATAAAGATTTGAAAAGGAAAAAGGGACATACCACGTGACATAACACGTTTTGTAGCCATTTCCTTACTGTAAAATTTGTATTTTTAATGTTGAAAGTGTTCGATAGAAAATAGTGTCACTAGCGCCCCCTTCATTTCCGGAATGCAATAGTCCCATTTCCATATAAGGTATGGGACTGACGGAAAGGTMCGTCACCGCCCCGTTCTGCATGCTGCAGCGAAGTGTACTTGYCCACATCAGCATTTGTATAGTTACTTGGTAAGAAGACATTCAGTTAGGAAAACAGCAACAAATAAAACAGTGTCTCATGTAAAAGTGAAGAGGTTTAATATTAATGTGCTGTTCTTTCACATTGGTTTGTTATTTTTGGGAACAAGTAGTTTTATTAGCCGCCGCCTTCTTTCAGCTGTTTTCCCTTCAGAGGTCACCGCAGCAAATCATCCTCCTCTCTTTCATCCACTAAGTAGTTTTATTAGCCTCAAGTGTGATTTTTTTTAAAGCCCTTGACTGGCATTTGCTYATTCTGGTGGAAGATTTCTGCCCTTTTCTCTAAACTTCATTCTCTCACAGCTGACAAGGMTAAAACAATTGATAATAATTTGAGAGAACATCAATGATTTTTACCAATTATTTTTTGAAAACCCTAACATGTTTCTACAGAGAATATCCCTATAATTTGAACATTACGGTACAACCACACACACCTGAATCCATCCTAGTTCACATACATTTTAAAATTCTTCTTATATTTTTTCTCATTAAATCCATTTTCCTCTCATTTAATTAATTAGATTTTGTTTACGGCTTGAAGACATTTATAAACTTTAAAGTGCCTGAGACATTCCAAAGCTTCAAATACAAAACGTCAAAGAAAACATCTTTCTATTTAAGAAACTTGGCACGATACACGTTTTGTCACATAACTGACAGATTTTCTTTTGAACTTGGCTTAGTAAACGTGACACAGGAAGTGACGTCAAAGGATAATTGTTTAAGAAAGAAAACTTCCTGGTTTTTGTTTATTGAAACGATATTGCTTGAACTCTGGCTCTTCTTCATCTCTCTGGTAGTGACTCAAAATAACCTAAAGAAACGTCAGATTCTTCTCCACACTCTGTGTTGTCAGCCGTTGTAGATTTGCTCAGTTAATATGCAGACATTCCCCTTTGACATCACTTCCTGTTACTTCACATGAAAATATCCCAAGAACAGTTAATCTCAGCGGCATGAAATTTGTTTTGCAGCAAACTATTAATATTATCTTTCCAAAAATGCCTTCATATTTATGAAAAAAAAATTGATGTCACGGGCACTTGAAAACACAACTGGATTTAGGCCTTTCATTTTAACCCCTCCTCACATTTTCCGCCTCTATTTAACCGTGGCTTTGTATTTTTGGGGGGATTCCCATAGGACGTCTGCACAGATGTTTCTTAACAGGAAATAAACTGCTTCAGGTTTTCAAAAAACACAGAAAATTGCAAAATATTAATTTTGCACGCTCTAAAAGCATTCAAAGCACATATTTATTTTTCATCTTTACAATCCAAAACAGCACTTTATAACTGGTCATTTGAGGTAATGCTGAAAACTGTAGGAGACAACATATTTGGTTCAGATTAATTTGCTGTGTTTTTTTTAATACAGTTTTTGCTGATAATTCTGTGATTTTTCAGACCTTTATGTAACCTTATCTGCTTTATGTTTAATCTTAAATTCATAGCCAGCACATGTGGTGATATTTTGTCTCATAACTTCAGCTGGATCAGAAAACCCGGAGGCGGAGGAAGAGTTTACTCGCACSGCTCAGGCCAGCTGGGTCCAGCGAATGTTCACTTCTTTCTTCAGTGACTCGGCTTTGTTCAACACAAGAGAGGGTCGGGCCGGGAAGGTGCTTTATCAAAAAAAAAAAAATCCACTCATGTTTCAGAATCGCATCCATCATCTTTCTAAAAAAGCCTTCTCATCTTTATATCAGGTGCATAACTTCATGCTGGGCCTGAACCTGAACACCAGCATGCCCTTCTCTCCACTCAATGAAATAATGTATTCAGCTCCGGCACTTGAGGAGGAAGTGGATGCCGTAACGGGTAAGAGGGATGAATGATTCCCAGTGTATGGTTGAGCGTATAAAATTAGAAGCGCACGAGGAAAGAAAAGCTTGAATATTTTACATAGTGTAGCTATGATTCATGCGGTGACTATTTACAGGTATTTGTGAAACACGTGCACATCAGTTACATTTAGATTAACCTCATCTAACCTCTGCACCTTTTCCCTGTTAATTCAGGTCTTATATTAAAACTGAGTCACGTTAAAGAGATTTTCTTTCATTGTGCTTCAGTAAATACCTTTTGCCTTCAGTCACACTTTGGTCATATAAAGTAAAACCATCTTAGTTAGTGTTAGGTGTTAGCATCACATTCTTCTTCTAGTATGTTTCTGAAATGACACTCAGCTACTACTAAAACAAATTTTATCTCAATGTCGCTAAAACTGATTGAACAAACATTTTTGGATTGTTGGAAGTTCCAGATTCTCATCCATAGATTCCTCTCTATGAGATTTTATTAAAATGTATTTTGCTAACACAGTTTACACAGGTATTTACATGACTTAGGCCTGCCTTTCATGGTGGCAGGAGATAATTAAACCTTATCCTCTGTTTAGAAGTGAGTCATTTTTGAAAATGTTGTTAGAATTAGAAACTGAGGGGAACTTTAAAGTTACACAACTTTTTTCTGAGGCTTTATTATGGTTCATATTTTATTTATTCTTGATGTCTTGTGAAATAATTTACAGACAAAGATGCCATATTTTCATTTTTATGAGATAATTTAAAATACAATTTCTTAACTTCCTCATGTTCTGACAATATACACTGTCTGGCCAATAAAAAAGTTGCCACCAAAAAGAAAGGTCACACTCTAATATTTCGTTGGACCACCTTTTGATTATGGCGCTCAGTCACTGTGGCATTGTTTGGATAAGCTTCTGCAATGTCACAAGATATATTTCCATCCAGTGTTGCATTAATTWTTCACCAAGATCTTGCGTTGATGATGGTCGAGTCTGACCTTCTTCAGCACGTCCCAAAGATTTTCAATGGACTCTGTGGAGTCAATTCATGTGAGAACATAATGTCTCATGCTCCCTGAACCAATTCCAGCCCCATGGMTCCTGGCGATGTCATCTTGGAATATGGCCGTGCCATCAGGGAAGAAAAAAAATCCATTGATGGAATAACCTGGTCATTCAGTATATCCAGGTAGTCAGCTGACCTCATTCTTCGAGCAGATACTGTTGCTGAACCTGGACCTGACCAACTGCAGCAACCCCACATCATAGACCAGGGCTATTCAACTGGCGGCCTGCGGGCCGGATGTGGCCCGCGAGTGACCAAAATGCGGCCTGCCAATTGGTTCATTCATCCCTTAAGCCCAGACCACTAGTTTTCTACTTTAATTACTGTAAGTTCTTTTGGTTAAACATACTGTAGACATGTTTGGTATCTACAGAAACGTCAGAATCTTGGCTAGAAGCTGGTAAAAACTATTTCTAAGCACACTCAAGACAGTTAAAACTATAAGCAGTTGAAGATAAAACTATGAAAGTAAAAATAAAATTGGTTTAAAAAGTTGGCAAGTCATAGATGTCAAAATGTTATTTGTGTTAAATAGGAGGTTATGATGTGTTCTTTTTGTTTTTGATATTGTTTTATTATCACTAAATTTATTACATAGAGTTCTGTATGTTATATCCGTGATTAAATACAGCAAAATAAACTATTTCAAAGGTAACAGATCTTTGGTTTATTTACATAATAACTTTAATTGCTGGATGGTCAGCCCCTCAGCTGTTGGCCTGCATTAACTGTGGCCCCCGGAGCAATTTCGTTGAACAGCCCTGTCATAGACCTTAGTTAAATCCAGGTAAATACTTTTTTGTTTGGCCAGGCATTGTAGTTATTTGTGACAGAAATCCATCAGAAAGGCTTCTTCCACTCGTGCTATTAATGAATCACATTTTTGATTTTGTGGGATTCTTTCAGATCCAGATGAATTTGATCGTATTTATGAGCCTCTGGACGTGAAGAGTAAGAAGATTCATGTTGTGGACAGCGGCCTGACCTACAACCTGCCCTACCCGCTCATCCTGCGGCCGCAGCGCGGCGTCGACCTCATTATCTCTTTTGATTTTTCTGCTCGACCAAGCGACTCCAGCCCTCCGTTCAAGGTTTGGAACGAACCAGTGGCAGAAAACAGAGCAATAATTGCAAACGCTGTTGTCTAATCTAATTTGTGTCAATACCCGCTGCAGGAGCTCCTGTTAGCGGAAAAGTGGGCCAGGATGAACAAGCTTCCATTCCCTAAGATTGATCCCAAAGTCTTTGACCGCGAGGGTCTGAAGGAATGCTACGTGTTCAAACCCAGGATGGGTGAAAAGAACTGCCCGATTGTCATCCACTTTGTCCTGGTCAACATTAACTTCAGGACGTTCAAAGCGCCTGGTGAGTCTGTGCAGATGTGATGACCTTCACAAGCAAGAGGGGGGAAAATATGTAAAGGCTCTGTGTATTATCATGCTTATTTTCTTTTACTATCACGGCACATGAGGCATTTCTTTCCCGAATTTGCAGAGTGAAATTTACCATAATCAGTCAGTCACAGACCGCATTGTGTGTGTTTTTTTCCAAAGTTACGCACACATCTGAGCCCCCCCCACCCCCCAAAAAAACAGCATTTGCCAAGTTAAGTGAGGTTTATAGTCACAGTCTGCTGTGTTTAAAACACAGACATGAAATGCGGCRTTTTCTGGATTTTATGACCCACTCTAGTAAAGTATGGTTCCTGAAGGAGCCAGGTGTGAGGGGATCATCCAGTTCAGTGGGAGAGCTGCGCACATAAACAGACCATACATCAGAAGTCCCACAAAGACACGCTATCGCCACATCTCCACTGGTCATCTCTTTACATCTGCCCACATACTTCCTCAGTTTGCTTATAAAGTTACATAAGGTTGTGCACATAATAAACAACTGAGGAAGCCAAACCATATACGGACTTCTGATATCAGTGTTTTGTAAACTTTATCTTCGCTTAGTCCAGCAGATTTGTTGAGAGAAGCTGGTCCTGATTTAAAAAGTTGAAATGATTCAGTTTTGAAGAGACAGTTTTCATCAGTTCCGGGAGCCGCACCCTGATCACGCAGGTTTTCAGGAAGCAGGGAAGCCGAAGCGTACAATCGGTCAGCAGGGCTTCCTCTCGTCACCCTTTCTCATAAAACATCTGACTGTCATTATCAGTTGAGCCAACGCACACAGAAGTGTGTGAGCTCATTGGCTGGTGAAGGAACCGCTGTCGTTAACCCTTTCAGGGTTTCACTCCCACAACACACTCTGTGTGCTATCTTTTTTTTTGTTGCAGGCCATTTGTGAAGCTCAGTTCGAGTGTAAAATCTTTAGGACGAGACGAACAGATTGCAAACCTTATACAGTATATTATAAATGTGGAATCCTGTGTTATTGTAAGATGTCACGGTCAGAGTATGTGTTGTTAATGGCTCTCAGCTGCTACCATGCCAAAAATTAGCTTAWTATCTGTAAATTTGAAAACAACAAAGAAAAAAATAAGTAGGTCCTCTGGATGGGTTCTTCTTTAGTGAAACGTTTCGTCTCTCGTCCAAAAGACTTCTTCAGTCTGATGAGTTTCAGGTGAACTCAGCCTTATAAGCACTGCCTCCACATGGACAAACAGGTTAGTCACATGCAAAAGAGGGCCGTCGCCTAACAATAGGCTTGATTAGAAGATATTAGGCGATGACCCTATTTTGCATGTGACTAACCTGTTTGTCCATGTGGAGGCAGTGCTTATAAGGCTGAGTTCACCTGAAACTCATCAGACTGAAGAAGTCTTTTGGATGAGAGACGAAACGTTTCACTAAAGGAGAACCCATCCAGAGGACCTACATATTTTTTTTCTTTTTGATAATACAAAGAAAATTATTGTTTAAGCAAACAGCTGATGACCATGCTTTATGTTAGAGTAA